CGCAGGTGAAATTGTCATGTTCTGAACCATAATTGAGGACTGGACAGGAAAGCACAGAAACGTCAGAGTGCACGTTAACAAGGCCCCAAGTGTCTGGGACCGATGAGCCCAAACTGGAGCTGAACACATCAGTCGTGGTTTTTTTTGATTATCGTGGAAGGATACCAACAAATTTATTCACGTCTGTACAAGCCCCACTTTTCCCCACCCCGAGGGTTAAAATTAATTTAATGCAGTCAGTCACAGGATGCAGCGTTATATAAGAAATCAATGTGATTTATCAGAACGCAGTCATCCGGTTTCCACAGCCCAGGAAGGAGTGTGACGACAAGAAAATGGATTTGAATTTCTTATTTCCTCTTTTTTCGCCCTCTCTGTCTGCGTTTTGGTTTCGGCGTTGTGTATCGCAGTCTGGGAGCAGAAATACTGGAAGAGGAGTGAGATTTGTGCAGGTTGAATGCTGGGTCACATATTTAGCTGCAGGGTGAGGATATAATTAGGAGTATTGTTGCAAAGTCATACTGCGCCGTGCAAAGAGGTTTTACTTTTAAAGCAGGAGTGCTGAGGCGTATTGGTGCCTGCCATCGAAGGAAAAGGCAGAGCGATGCGTTTGTGGGTGTGCGAGTTCATTTGTCTGTACTGTTAGCAAAATATTTAACATGTTTTGATGTAAGTTTTTAAATAGTTTTAGGGTTGACATCGGTTTACCGTACTTTCCGGCGTATAAGTCGCAGTTTTTTTCTGCATAGATTTGTCAGTCCTGCAACTTATACGCCGAAGCGACTTATATACGTTTTTCTTATTCGTAACGCAATTTTTGACCGATGCTTTAAATTTCGAAGAACTGCAACAGCGAGTCCTCTCGTGCACGCTCGCTTCACTCAGCTGGTGCAGGCGGAGTAACGCTGGAGAGCTAGCAGCTCCGGCCACGATGGATGGATGGATGGATGGATGGCGCCGCGTCGCCCAGGCTTAATGAAACGGTTTTGACCGTTAAAAAAAACAAATAATAAATGCGACTTATACGCTGGAAAATACGGTATCTGTTGGAATCAATCCATGCAAGATGGCTGCCTTGGGAAAAAGTCTTGGCTAACACAAAAATGCTTAAAGATCGGTGAATTTTACAGCCATGGAGCTACATTCTGGTGTGGTAGTAGCTGAGAGTCATTCCCAACACATAATCTGTCATCATCTGTACATCAGTATTTTTAAAGTTTGACTGAAATGTCTGTAACTCTGTCCTTTCTCATCAGAAAATGATGTTTAAGGTTTGGGCATGAAAGGCAGCGGAACGTGTATCCCTGTAATCCGTAAAGTTTTTGTATCCCGCTCCACTCCTGACGAGGTGAATCTGACCTCCTCGCCCTTTCAGGGATGTTGGCAGTCACATGATTTGGGCTTTTCCCAGCATGTTTGTGGGGCTCTAACGCTCCAAAAGGATAACCCTGAATGGGTTTGGATTTGTACAATAGTTTGTGTGCAGCTCTGCAGCACCTGGGCTCGGCTCTTTCGGTCAGTTGAGTTTATTGTGGAAGAGTGCCGAATCAGGGCTTCTGAAACTGTATAGCACTGCATGTAACACTGCTCTGATCCATCACATTGGTGTTTGGTGTCTGTCTGTTACTTCTTGGCATATACTTGTCATGGAAATCAAATTAAAACTGATGCAAATTAATAGAAAAGTCTATTTATTTAGATCAGATGTAAGCAATATATGGCCTGAGGGCCAAAAGTGGCCCTTGGACAATCACAATCTGGCCCCAAAATCCTCAATTGAAAGAAAACAACTTTTAAATAAGTTGATGAAAACCTGCATTCAAATACAAAAAAACTTTTTGGATTAGGTTGGGGTGAAACTTTTCCAGAACTGGACTGGAACTTGATAAAAGCTAACGTTTACCTTTTTGGACCATTTTTATTTTTGTATTTTAGCTACCAAATATATTCTCACAAGTGCCAGTTTTTAAAATATGTCTCGTATTTCTAAAGTTTATTCAGGAGACACATTTTGTATCAAGCATGCGAAGTAATAAAACTTAGTCTTCCAGATTATCTGTCTTCAATAATCTAAATTTTCCAATTCTTTGTGGGCCCTTTCGATGGCATTCTGGAGTTGCGCCGCTCGGGGTGGCTGCATGTTGGAGTGGCTCCGTTTCATTCTGAGACTTTTGGAAACTTTGGTTCCTCTTTTTCAGGATGTGGGTCACTTTTTTTGGATGGTTGTTTCCTCTGGTGTTGGATGCTGTGCAGCGCGAAGGATTTTTACTAAATGTTTTTTGTTGTGGACATTTGTTATGATGCGTAACCATGACAAAGGGGTTTTTCTACAACCAGGAGCAGCTGATTAACATCTCAAAAGCTCAAACAATTTCGCAACTACAGCCCCAAACTTCAAATGAGTTGAAAAGGAGGCGCCATGGATGCATTCCCATCTCCCTTTCGGCTGTGCTCGAGTGCCTGACCTGAGATCCTGGAACTGGCAGGAAACGCGGCTCGTGACAGCATAAGGACCGGGATCGTCGCCTGGCCGGCTGTCCGCAGTGACGAGGAGCTCGGCAGTCTGCTGGAAGGGAGTGGCCATCGCTCTGGGAGGAGTTCAGCCCGGGGGAACCGAGAGGCCAGTCGAGTCTAGGTGCACAGATCAGAGGGTATCTGCAGCCAGTTTATTCAGATCCGCTGTGGGTCAGACCTTTACAAGAGCTCCTTCCTGCCTACAGCCATCAGTATCTAACATCTCAATGAAACGAGGATAACAAGTTACAACAACATTTAATTTCTCTTTGGGATTAATAAAGTATTTTTGAATTGAACTGAATTTAAATATCTTTATTAGGTCCTCTGGAAAACAAAGTTGCACATATGAATGTGGTTCAGTAGAAATGTTATGAAGGGATAATGTTATACCTGTTTTAAATATCTCCTTGTACAACCTCAATATGGAAAAATTGCTTTTAATTGAGACCAGATATTCAATCTGTTTGAGCTAATTGTATTTCAAAAGTTTTATTGTGGGTAATGGAAATAAAATGATAAATCTGTACATTTTGGCCAGTTCTACATTACACTGTTGTTTAAGGTAGTGGCTTACTGGGCTGCAACTCTTGGACCATTATCTTGATGCATGCTCAATAATCCAGGTAGAAAAATCCAACAAAGTTAAGTCCGGTCCTCTGGACGGATTCTTCTTGTTGAACGTTTCATCTTTTATCCAAAAGACTTCGAAGTCTTGGATAAAATACGTTTCAACAAGAAGAATCCGTCCAGAGGACCGGACTTAACTTTGCTGGATGTTGGACCGTTTGCTACCAACTCGAAGTTGCAAGGAAACACAAACTTGCAGTTATAATTGCACTCGGGTGTTTGAGACCAGCGAGCTGCGCGGCCACGGTTTGAGCAGCCAAAATTGTATTTTAGACCCTGCACGTCATTTTGTTGCCCACCTCAGCTCTCTTTGTACCCACCTTGGCAGCCATCTTTACATTTATGAGTTAATCTACTGGAGGAGAATTTTCTTGGCAGATTTTTGACCCGGTTTTAAATATCAGTGAACTCAGCAGCTGATAAAGTACAGCTCGAGTGCTCTTGAGGTGGGCTGGAGATGCCCAGGGCAAATCGAGGACGCTGCAACATAGGTTTGAAACATTCGCAACAAATCATGTTTATATTGCTCAAAAATGTTGAACATGTTAAACATGTAGGTGAAAAGTTTGCAAGCCTCCGAGACTCGTGAGAAAACTGAGAACCACCACAAACATCGCAAGAAATCCTGGAAACTCCCTCGCGAGTGCCCAGTCAAAGCCAGAACTGCATGCACCACCTTAAAATACAACGGCTCACATTATTTGCAAGTGCATGCAGCAGCAGCTAGCTGTAGCATTTCAAGCAGCAGTATCATAATTTGCCTAAATATTAACGTACCGTATTTTTCGGGCCATAAGGCGCATTAAGCGAAACAAAACGGATAAGTCGACTCATTCACAATAACCACATAAAATTGGCTTGAGGTCGGTAAACACAACCAGAATTAATGCATGAGGTGCACCTGATTATAAGAAAATTAAAGGATTTTAAATAAAAAAATACGATGATGCAAAACAACTTTTCCGTGATCCACTAGAATTTAAATGTTTTTCACAGTTTCACTCCAACTCCACGCTGACTAGCCATTCGCTCGTCGATCCTCCGTTTTTTCTTCTTCAGGGTTCGACAAAACCCCACGTTATTAGAGCCGAACTGCTCCTTTAACCTGCTCCTGTTTCATCTGATCGATTTCAGTCCGTTCGTTCTGTTCCTTATCTGTGCAAAAGACGAAATCCAGAGTCGTTTCCCATCAGGTTGAGGGCAACCAAAGGTCAAATCTAAATGGCTGCTTAGTCACACGAGTTAAAAAATGTCCTCGCAGGTTCAGCCTGACCTGCCTGTTTTCGTTTGTCGGAGTTTCTTTCGTGGGAGAATGCAGGTAGAACGTCCCCGTGTCAAACAGGATCGTTTGTGCTGATTGCGTGGCTCGTCTCTAAACGAGACGGCAGTTGTGATTTGATTTTATTTTGTTGAACCCAAGCTGCTGATCAAAACAGGCAGGGGGTGGTGGTGCTTCGAGGCGCCTCTTTTCTTGTTTGGTGACAAACGACTGCGAAATGAAAACAAACGCATGTCACGTTTAAAATGTCGGGAATTAAGACGATAAGAACAGAAAAAGGGCACAAGATATCTGAGTCACGAACGTTTTTGGTCCAAGGTTGAAGCAGCCGAGGCGGGTTAATATCTGATATCCAGCTCGGGCGCTCTGTGTTCTTATGAATTGATCTGTCGATGAAAGAGGTCCTTGTAGGCTGTGAAAACCATGAACTGAAGGTCAGCGACGGAGCTCTGCATAACTCTGACTCAGGTTTCACAGCTGACAGGAAGTAAGGCAGGATGAAGGAGGAAGAAGGTCAGATTTGATGTAAAATATAATAAAGTGAAACCGTTTCGTTTCTTTGCTTCTGTCGTTTCAGCTCAGGTTCCTGACAGCGACGAGCAGTTTGTTCCTGATTTCCATTCAGAAAACTGTGAGTACTTTCATTTTCTGTACGAGCGTGCACGTCACGTGTGTTGCAAGTGCGCAGTGAGCTTCAGGTGCAAAACAACAACAACTACAACAACAAAAAAACCACAAAATGTTTCTGTTCGTGGAATGAAATCCTAAAAACATGGTAATTTAGGTTAGGTTGAGGATATTTCTACTTAAAACCTTTTATAAATACTTTAAAATGGTATGTCACTTTTTTTATGTAAACTGATGATTCTGTGTGCGTTGATTTATTTTTAGTTTCTATGGATTTCCGAATGGGAAACTGGCAAAAAAAAAAAGTAGGGATGCACGATATTATCGGCATGGTATCGGTATCGGCCGATATTAGCGATAAAATTAAATATCGGACATCGGCCATTCCACCAAAAATAACTCTGCGATAGAAAAGGAGCTGTTTATTTATATATAAAAATATATAATATTCAGCGCCGTTTTTGTATAACAACCCAGTGACACGGATGGGGGAGTGGTGGCGCAGAGGTTAGAAGATGGGCTTGTGATCGGAAAGTCGCAGGTTCAACTCCCGGTACCGTCAACATCAAAAATGTGGGTGGAAAAGGTGAAACACCCACACCTGTCGCCCCACTCTGGGCCCCTGAGCAAGACCCTTAACCCCCACCATCTGCTCCCTAAACGGGTCTCTCTTGAAAATGAGTTCTCGTGGCTCAATGAGACTACCTGGATAAATTAAGGGTAAATGAAAAAAAAAAAAACCCTGCAGCACCAGCACGTTATGACATCATGCTCACCGTTGAGTTTAGACTTGTGAAAAATTACAAACCTGCACTGTTCGAGTGTTGTCATTGTGTTAGAGTAAATTTCATGAATAAATTTGACATTGAACATAATCCAAGCTTCATTTTCAGTCTTCTTTTTGTCATCTACATTTGGTAGCAGGCCAAATGGACGAAGACCATAATATGGAATAATGTATTCTAATTTATTTATTTAATAACCTTTATTTAAACGGCCAAATCCCATTGAGATCACAGATCTCTTTTGCAAGGGAGACCTGGGCCTGAAGGCAGCCTAACATGCATGTTTTTGGTCTGTGGGAGGAAACCGGAGTACCCGGAGAAAACCCACGCAAGCACGACAAGAACATGCAAACTCCACACAGAAAGACCCCAGGTCCAACCGGGGATTGAACCCAGGACCTTCTTGCTGTGAGGCGACAGTGCTAACCACTGATCCATTGTGCTACCACAGAGAAAGCTATGTGGTCTCTGTAAGTAGGTCTAGGGGAAAAAATATCGGTATTAGTATCGGATATCGGCCAAAAATCCAGTATTGTGCATCCCTAGAAAAAAGTCTGTCATCTTATTGGTACATGTTGGCACAATGTGTCCATCTAGAGTTGCTTTTGGTAGCATGTTGCTGCAGTTTGGGGTGGGGGGGTATCTCCTCAGGAATCTGTGGAACAACCTGAGGCGTGGGACGTTCTCTCGTTTCGTTGCTCTTGGCAGCTTCGCTCTGTTGCAGAACCTTCTTCGATTCTTCATCTTTGAAATTCGGTTTCTTCTGGTTCCAGTTCAAGCAAAGCTGGTTGGCTCTGTCCGTGCACTTCCAGCTAAAATATGCCCATAAGATAAAAGCTGTGGTCAGTTTCAGGCTGTGAAGTCCGCAGAGGTCTGGGAGGAGATGCAGCGAGCTGCCGAGGCGACTGTAGCCTCTTGGGCAGAAACAGAAGACCGAAGGTCCCGGTCACCGAGTGGATCTGGATCCCAGCGAAATGTGCTGCCGTCATTCATTTGCATGCGTTTGAAAAGCTGAATAGGTACAGCCCAGGAAACCAGTACAAAATTATTCAGGGCCCAGGTACAAAGATGGCCCTTTGTGCACATCGGAAGGTGTAAAATAGAAAAGCAAATTCCTGGGCCGCACAACTGAGCTGTGATTTGAATGGGTTTCCCTTTCTTCTTGTGTGTCTTAACAATGGTGATTCAGGATCTGGGTGGGAGGACGAGTCGCTCTGCAAACAGGTTTTTTTTCCTCCTCCCTTGCTTCCATTCAACACTTTGCAGGCCTCCCCGTCCCTAGCATGGCTAGCAAAGGGAACTTGACGATTAATCCCTCCTCCAAAGTGAAAACGGGCAGCCCTGGGTGCCACTCAAAGCCACTTCCTCCAAACGAGGCTGCGCGTCTTTTGTGTCCAAACATCGTGCGACTGAACAAACCCCAGGTCGCAACTGCTCAGCCCCTCGGTGTCACGTGTCCCGGGCAACATTGTGGCCGATTGTTGGCCAACAATGTGGAGGAGGAAGTGAGGCCGAACCTCGGGACATGCAGGGGTCATGTCGACTTAACCCGCCGGCCTCGACGCCCAATCAGCTGTCAGGCCTGCGCTAACGGCTGACCTGGGTGTGATTTGCAGGGTCACAGAGGCTTCAGCTTGACGGGCAGCTCATGCAGACACGGCAGTTGAAAGTTTCCCTGCGGATCGCCGTCAGCAGCAGCTGAATGTGGAGAATTTGACTGACGGCTCAGCGTTTGTCCCGGAGCATTCTTGTTTTGTCTGTTGAGCTGATTCTTTCCCATACTTCAGTGAAAGGCATTCTCACTGTCTGGTAAACGTATAATAACAGGTGACTCACCTGTTTTGGAAAGTATTAAAGACACGCACACAAAAGCAGCGAGCAAAGCCTTAATCCCAGGCGACTGGGGCGCACGTGTAATTGAAGCTTGCATTGAAAAGCTCTGCCCTGGTAAATTTAAACATTGTTGTTTAATGAGTCAAGTTGTTACCTGTATGGGTGTGGTGCCGTTTTAACGGAGGGACGAAAGAGGCAAAAACACATGCCGGAATGTTAGATTAGAGAAGAGGAGGGGGGTGAAGCGGGGATTGAGCAATACCTGCACATCTGGTAAATCTATCTCATCTGGTCCTTTAATTCGTGGCTAACAAGCGCGCTCTGTCTGCAGGCTGCCACCGAGGGAAGGTTACGCAAACACGCACACATTCATGCATTTGCTGCGTGTTTGAAAGTAATTGAGCCATTCCCCCCCCCCCCCCCCCCCCCACTGACATAATGCGATTGACTTGAAAGCCCTAAAAGAGGGATTTAATTTTAATCTCGCGCTCGTCGAGCAGAGGAGGCCGTTTGTTTTTGGGGCGCTGACGGCGCCTTCAGGGGTTCTGCTCGCCTGACGCCAACATTCCTTTGTGTGTTCGCTGCCTGCGGGGAAAGAGACACGAAGGTGTCTGTTGGATTGATAATGCACAAACTTAGCAATTGATCTGTTGATGACACTAATTAGATTTTGATTTTTTTTTTTTGGGGGGGGGGGGGGGCTCCAAAAAAGCCGGTGCAGGAGGCTTCCCCTGCAGTCCGGAGCTCATTCTTCTTTGTTAAAGTATGTTGTTTACACTTGGAGCAACTCAAGAGATGTGACCCATTCATAAGTTTTCTTCCCTGCATGCGTAAAAGGAAGTGTGCCTCCCCCATCCCCCTCCTCCTCCCCCCTCCTCCTCCTCTGGTGCTTTCTCCCTGGTCTTGTGCAGTGCTCTCCTTCAGGCTTCATTCATAAAAAAGCCTACAGTGCTCCTGCTCTCCAAGTGGATACTCCAAACCCCTCCCTCCCTTCCTGTGTCTGTACAAACGAAGTCAAATTTAAAAATCTGAGCCCCCCTCCATCTCAACACCCCCCCCCCCCCCAACCACCGCGCCCCCCCCCCTCTCCCCCCCCCCCCCCCCCCCGCCTCTTTCTCTTTTCCTTCTACCTCTTCAGGCGCTCGCACACTCCGTTCCAAGATGTGAACTAATCCAGCGATTTCAGAGTTGTGTAGGACAATTGTTTAGTTTTGGGCCTTGCAGTAATTATATAGGAAGTTGTGGCTGCAGAATGCCGTTGCAGCGTTTGAGCTCGGAGAGAAAGCAAGAGGAAAAAAAAACGGAGAGATCCTGTGAGAGGAGAGGAAGTGAAACCGAACTCTCAAAACGTATCTAATCAGTCTGGTTTAAACTGCATCTTCTTTGCACCGTTACGTTCCAGATGCACGCAGATTTATCTTTCTTCTTGATATGCAGTTTTTCTTTTAAACGCTTTACAAGTAAAATGCCTCGTTTTGTCCAACGCGTTATATTTGCCCCTATTTCTCCACCTTTTAATAAGAGTTTTAAAAAAAAGTGTCTTTTGAGTTTTTAATAAGCTCGTCTCATCCAAACCAAGCAAATTCATGCTGGGATCTAAAAATGCTTCCACGCAGTTTTAGTTTGAGTAAAGTTCGAAAGTTTCCAGATGGCGTTAGTAGCTTTTCTTTCATTGCGTCTTAAATTAATTTAACAAAAATAAATGAAAGGCTGCAAATGATTTCACAGATAAAGCCTGATTCTGGATACCTTTGGTATTTTTGCATTAAATAAACGGTTTTAAAAATTTGTGCAACGATCTTCTGTGGATCAAGGTGGCAGAAGAAGAATATAAAACGATATGATGCAATGCCATGAACAAAAACCTAGAAACTGGAACGTAACGTCGAAGTTGAAGTTGGCTCTGAGTGACGTCATGCGCTAGCGAACTCACCGCACAGATTGTTTTCAAAATGGAGCGAGCGAAAGGATCAGCCATGTGGAACTATTTCACACGACCTCAGCCAACGCATTCGACAGCTACGTGCAATACGTGCACAGCGACGGTTCCAGGAGGTGTCACTAAAACTTCCAGTTATAACACTACCAACTTAATTAAGCATCTCCCTAAAGATTTCACCCTAAAGAGCACGCTGAGTTTGTTGAACAGATTTTTTTCTGTATTGGATCGGTATCGCTCGACACTAAAACAGATATCGGTATCGGAAGTGGAAAAAGTGGATCGTGTATCCCTAAGAAAAACCAACATGGCAGTGCCCGTCAATCGGTTCCTGCTGACTTCAGTTCTAATCAACAAAATGAGGAAATTCACTTTTTCTCTTTTTATGTCACTGTATGATGCAATACAATAAAGTATTGAGAAAGTAAGATACAATACAATGTGTTA